GAACTTTTTTGCTTGATTTTGATTGGCCCATGTAATTTTAGCCACTTGTCGACCTGTGGTTGGTTCTTTCTTTTTCACTTAGATTGCCACATCATTTAACACGTGGAGTCATCTTTTTGGCTTCCAGTTTGACTAGATATGCCGTGTCACTTGACACATGGCATGAGTCTGGGCCTTATGATGAAATGGACCTTGGGATGAAAATAATAAAATGGACTAATTTAACTTGTAAAGTCCAAATTAATTATTTAGCCCAATTGAATTCAATCCAAATTTTGTACGGATTAGACCCAATAAATTTTATATGTCTATAGATGCCCCCTACTTCAAGATTTGTTGAAGTGTAAACTTGATGGGCCTCAGTGACGAGGCTTGAAGTAGCGGCGAAGAGTATACATTTTTGGAAATATTCGGCTATTTGGATAGGCTGTGACCTCTAATAGATGACTTTAGCCAGCATTCTAAACGGCAAAACGGTTTAGCTACTTCAAGGTCGAAAATTTAGTTGCTCTCAGTATTGTTATCTCCATTTACTAAGGACTCCAAGACCCCAAAAAGAACTAAAAGTATCATAGTCATGTTGGAGAAAGCATTTAGCACCGATATCGTAGTCATGTTGGAGAAAGCATTTAGCACCGATCTTCTTGGCCTTATATTTTTAATAATAGGTTTTCTGTTAGATTAGCCCTTATACAAACTGTATGTAAACCTTTTTAAACCAAAATTTAACTAAGGAAAGTGGACATCTTTTAATCAAAGCAAAGCACTAAAAAATCATGTAGGACACCAAACCCACGTAGGACAAAGAGACACTGATTTTGTACCATATTTGCACTCAACTTAAGCAGCCTTCTTCGAATATAAGAGGCGATAATATCTGTTGATTTAGGTGTAAAGTCCAAACCCTTTTCCGACGCTTTCTTTAATCAACTCTGTCTAGAAGTCCAAGACTCCAAGTATCAGCCACCTTAAATAATTATATAAGAAAGCCCTTGCAATCTTTGACTGCCCAAAGAAACTTCGAAATTACTACTGTTTCTTGACGGGGAAGACAATTGCCGGCACAAGGCAATTGTTTCTCTACTGAGTGCTCTTTTTTTTTTTTCAAGTCCCATCCTTTATTCATCTCCTCTTTGTTTCTCATTACTGTATTTTTTTTCCAGGAATCGACAATACCAACACAGTAAGTTGGAATCCGCACTAGCAAAGGAAATTAAAATCCACGAACCTTGAGCCATGGAGATTATTGTTTTGGCATTGAATTTGGCCATAGTTTGAAGCTTCACATCGTAGGCGTCGACCGCTACATGTCATGTCGATTCTAACTCTAAGTATTTACTACTTTTTTTATTTAAACCAATCACTTATTATTTTCCTTGAGCGTTTTAGGTACATATCCGTGTAGGCGATTGTTTCTTCTGTTCAAAGAATCTCATAAGGCGAAAAGCATCATCCTCTGTACCAACAGATCACCCAACTACATCCACCAGTAGCTGCAACGATGATTACGTGAACCAGCGATAACGTTTACGACGATGATGCCTATGATGTTGACGCAACGGGGAACTTCTTTGTTAAATTTTGGAATCAGTGAATCGACGTGCCTTAGACATTGAAACTTACTGTTGAGGCAAAGTGCAGCATCTTGACGCTAATCAATCATGTGAAATCAAAAGCTTCATGGCGTTTATATCGATATTTATGAGTCGAGTTGAAGTGTCATGTTGCTGAAACGTCGTGCTATTGGCACTGAAGACGCCTAAAATATTTTCTTTTGCAGGATTTGAGAGAGTTCCAGTGATCTATATCCCTAGGAAGATGAATTGAAAGCGAACCACTAGTCTCTTTGTTGCGGCTCCGCGAGAAAGACACATGAAGTGTCCTTTCAACCTCGGCGAAGAAATCACTGCTCTTGGAGGCTCGGAGAGACCATATTTCATCATTGGGGAGCGCAACATGTACACATCATATCATTGCAGGTTGGCGAGAAAGACAACTGGAGTAGGCCTTTCCAACTTTGGCGAGCAAACCCTTAGCGCGTCTCTGCAAAAATATTTATTTCTCGATGCAGGAGCGAAAAAATCAAAAGTCGCTTCTTCCTAAAGAATCATAACTCGAGGGGGTGGAACACATAAAAAATTCAGCACCAAATTCCTTGAGGATTAGCCGCAATATTTTTTTGAAGCAGATAAACGTGTCCAGCATTTTAACTTTACAGCATTGTACAGTCTCTCCAGAAGATTGATATCTCGAGCTAGGAGTGTCCGAATCACAATCCGTTTGCGCCATTGGAAAGAAAGCTCTGACACCTCTCACGCCTCAATATTTCATAGTAGGATTCCCCTCATAATGGCTGTAATAATATTCTGAAGTTGCTCCTGATGTCTGCCGTACTTGCAATCCCGCTTTGCGCACTCCTTTCGAAAAATTTATATCTCGACGTAGGAGAATCCAAATTGCGATCCGTTTGTGCTGTTAGAATTTAAACTCATAGAGCTACAATACATATGAATTTCATGGCAGAACTCCTTTCGATCTGGAAACAGAAAATTCCCAAAATCCACCTACCTGCCGTAACTTTCAGATTCGTGTGGTTCCGACAAAAAAAATCGTATCTTGATCTAGGAGCCTCTGAATCGCAAACGGATTGTGTTGTTAGAGATTAAACATCCAAATATACAACATATTAAATGTTTGGGGCATAACATCTTTCGTATGGACCACAATAGTTTTTCAAAGTTGATTCTGTCGTCCGGTGAGCTCGCTTCCCATCTCTATGCTCTCTGAGTTGTCCTATGAATGTTGTTGTTTTCTTGAAATTTACTCTAAAGTCTTGCATATAGTAACTTTGGCTATCATGCGTCACAAATCTTATATCTTCATTTATTTCTTTTTGCAGACTCGCAAAGAAGTTCAAAGGGTCCAGATATCAGCCGAGGTGTCATACAAGATGCGGAGCCACCCATTCACCAAGTGTTGCATTGGATATGTTGATAGTCTTGAAGTTCATAAATGGCGGTCTCATGGTGATTGAAGATTTTTTCCAGAGAGGCGACTTCTCGCATATGGGAACTTCAACCGACACTTGCACAAGAGAAGTACCATGCTCGAGGACTAACAAGATATGTGGTTGAGAGATCATCACAACTACTGAACGCGAGAGACATACATCGAGAATGGCATTAAATGTGGAGACGTCATACAGACTTGGAAAAGTATTTAAGATGCGTCAGCAACAAAGCCTAGTTTACGATCATCCTCATGATTTAGGCTTTTGTATAGAAAAATGTCTAGTTCCATTTGTCTCTACATTTTTTGATGTATCAAATTTTGTACTATTGAAGCAATAAAACATCTTTTGTACTTCAATGCAAATCGTCTTCTTTTCCTCATAGATATGTGCCTCTGCACTTGAAGAATTTATGTGATGATCCGATGACGCCAAGTTTTTATATTTCAAAAACTCATGCGATTGAACTTAGAATGAAACTCTAAGCTGCCTACGTACCTCGGTGAAGAGGATCAAGTCATAACGTAGTTCAGAGGGGTGAGTTTTTTTTTCTTTTTTTTAATGTCCTAATTTTTGCCTAGGCCGCCTCTCGCGAGGTTTTCAACCTAGCTGACTTTTTTTTTTGCCTAGGCCGCCTCTTTCGAGGTTTTCAACGTAGCAGACTATATTTTTTGGGGCCGTACACAGTTTAGACTCATGCGGGCCAGGAGTGTAGCAACGTGCAATTTAGGCTCATGCACCAAGGAGCATCATGACTTGCGGTTTAGGCTCGTACGTCGAGGAGCGTAGGTGACTTTCACGGGAAGTACTTCTTTAGAAATTTGCCGTTGACCGGACCAACTCTGAGACAATCCTTATCGATAATTTTGTATGCGCCGCTTGAATAGGGTTCCTTCACGACATATGGCCCATCCCAATTTGAGATAAACTTGTCGCCTATGCGTTTGTTGAGGATTATGGGTCGTCGAATGGCTAGGACTAAGTCTCTCACTTGGAATGATCGTGGTCGCACTTCCTTGTTGAAGGCTCTAGCTAGTCGAGCTTGTTAGCACTCTAATTTTTGTTGCGCCTCTAATCTTTTCTCATCCAAGGCCTCTAAATCTGCTAGGCGAAGTTGAGCATTCTCTTCCGATGTCAACCCTTCTTGGATTGCGATCCGCACTGATGGAATTTGTTGCTCCAACAGAAGGACTGCTTCTACGCCATACACCAAAGAGTAAGGAGTTGCTTGTGTAGCAGTTCTAAAGGTTGTCCGGTATGCCCACAAAGCTTCACCAATTTTCTCATGCCAGTCTCTCTTGTTCTTTGCAACAACTTTCTTCAAAAGGTTACCAAGCGTCTTGTTAAAAGCATCAGCAAGGTCGTTGGCGGGTGCATTATACATTGAAGACTTATGTTGCTTGAAGTCGAACTTCTCGCACAGACTCTTCACAAGCTTGTTGTCAAATGGCATTCCATTATCGGTGATTATGTATTTTGGTATGCCGTACCCAAAAATTATATATGACTTGATAAAATCGACAACAGTCTCCTTTTTCACCTCCTTGAGTGGAGCAGCTTCGGCCCATCTAGAGAAGTACTCTGTAGCAGCCAATATGTAAATATGTCCCTTTTATGACTTTGGAAGCGGTCCAACAACGTCAAGTCCCCATGCATCAAAAGGCCATGAAGCAATAGTTGGATGAAGAGGCTCTAGAAGTTGGTGGATGTAGTTGGAATGAAATTGACACGCTTGGCATCTTTTGGAATGATCCATGCAATCCTTCACCATTGTCACCCAGTAGTAGCACATCCTCTTTATGCGAAAATGGAGCTTGGGACCAGATTGGTATACTCCACATGAGCCATAATGTGCTTCCTCCATTGCTTGGCGGGCTTCTTCTTTGTCAACACATCGCAAGAATAGTCCTTCAAAAGAGCGGCAAAACAATGTCCCCTTATAGAAGATGAATCGTGGTGCTCTTCGTTTGATGTCTGTTCTTTGTCGCGGTTATTCAGGTAACTTTCCATGTTCAAGGTACTCTATCAGTGGTTGCCTCCAATCTTCTTCTTCAATCACTCGAACAGACGTATGATGGCTTTCGTTGATTTGAAGATCCAGAAGTCTAGGAATAACCCATCGATGACACACATATACCTTTATTGAATCATTCTCTCCAAGTGCCATCATCGTAGCCAAGATAGCCAAAGCATCAGCCTTGCAATTTTCTTCTCTTGGGACATGGTTTAAGAACACTTGGTCGAATTTTTCAAGTAAACCAGAAGCGTATTGATAGTATGGAAATAGATCTTTCTTTATTACCTCGTAACTCCCCAAAAGTTGGCTGAGGATCAGCTTAGAGTCTCCGTAGATCTCCAACTGTAGAATCATCATTTCTAATGCCATTTCGAGACCGATGATCAAAGCTTGGTACTCTGCGGCATTGTGGGAGCATGTTTCACCTAAAACAAAAGAGAATGGCAAGACTTGTCTTTCTGGAGAGATCAACACAACACCTGCCCCCGCACCATTACGACGTGCAGATCCATCAAAGAACATTGTCCATGGTGGAAACTCTTCGATGAACAAAATGTCTTCATATGGAAACTCATCCGAAAGCTCCCATTCCGTCGGAAGAGGGTGATCAACCAGAAAATTTGCTAGTGCTTGTCCTTTCACGGCTTTTGTGGTGTGTATATGATCTCATATTTGTTAAACAATATGGACCATCTTGCTAGGCGTCCAGAAAGAACAGGTCGAGTCATCGCGAACTTCACGCGATCTGCTCGAGAGATGATTTTGATGGTGTATGCTTCAAAATAATGCCTTAGATTCGTTATCACATAAACTAACGCTAAGCATATTTTCTCAACAGGCGTATAGTTCATCTCAGCTCCTATCAGAGTTCAGCTAAGGTAGTACAAGGTTTGTTCCTTTCCTTCCTCATTTTCTTGAGCAAGTAGTGCTCCAAGTGAACGTTCATGTGCCGCGATATAGAGTATCAATGGCTTCCCAAGCATTGGCGCCCCTAGCACAGGTGGATTCAACAAGTATTTTTTGATGCTTTCGAAAGCATTTTTACATGACTGATCTTAATGAAAAGGGATATCCTTCCTCAATAGATGATTGAAGGGTTGACACCGTCCAGCTAGATTAAAGATGAACCTCCGGATCAATGCTAAGTTTCCTTGGAGACTTCGAAGATCTCTCAAGTTCTTTGGCTTGGGCATTTTCTGAATGGTGTCAATCTTTGCAGGATCAACTTCAATTCCACGATGACACACAATGAAGACAAGAAACTTTCCTGAGGTAACTCCAAATTCACACTTGAGTGGATTCATCTTCAAGTCGAATTTTCTTAACCTTTCAAAAACAATTCGAAGGTCTACAAGGTGGTAACGCCTACTCTTCGTCTTCACCACCAAGTCATCAACATAGCATTCAACCCACTTATGAAGCATGTCGTCAAAGATGTTTTGCATCGCGCGTTGGTAGGTGGAGCCGGCATTTCTCAGACCGAAGGGCATCACTTTGTAGCAATATATCCCTTTTAGAGTTCGAAAAGAAGTACACTCTTCATCTATTGGAAACATTCTGATTTGTTTTTATCTGAAGACCCATCCATGAAAGACATAGCTCCATACCCTATTGTAGCATCAACCATGAGTTCAATAATTGGTAGCAGGAAGTCATCTTTTGGACATGCCTTGTTTAGGTCTCGAAAGTCGACACAAACATGTATTTGACCATTCTTCTTCTTGACAGGTACAATATTTGATATCCATGATGGGTACTTCACCTCTCGAATAAATCCTGCCTCGATAAGCTTGTTGACTTCGACTTCAATTTGTGATACGAGCTCGAGTCGAAACATGCGTTGTGACTGCTTCATAGGGCGTGTTCCAATTTTGATCCCTAAATGATGAACAGCTACCTTAGGACTAAGACCAGGCATTTCTTTATACGACCAAGCTAAGACATCTTTGTACTCGGTCAACAACTCGGAGTATTCCTCCTCCTCTTGAGGCGTAAGAAGTGCACTAATGAAGGTGAGGCATAGATCTTTCGGAGTACCTAAACTGAGTTCCTTATGCTCATCCACAGTTGATTGGCCGACATCTTCTAGTTGGGTGGGAGCCTCATGTACATCATCAACGTTAAGGCATGGGCTATCTTCCACAGTTATGTGATAGGATGTTTCCACAAAGTCGGACTTTTCTCTTTGACTTCCTTGGATGGTCGGCATGGCTTCTTTCTCTTTCTTTGCTTCTTTATGAGGCTGGCAAGTGTAAACAATGGTTCTCCTTTACACCTTCAGCGGACCATCTGTGGATATTGACAAAATAGACATCCTCTTCATACGTGATGAGAAAGCACTACAGATTTCTTTGTCAGCAACAACTTCAAAATGATTTCGCTCCTTATCGACTTGCTCCTTATGTTTTGACAGTATATTTCTAGATGTCGACTTCCTTGTGGTCCCTAGGCGACAAAAGATAGAGGTTTTTGAGGTAGTGGAAACTTCTTTTAGATGTTTGGAAGATACACGTTCACCTTTGTGACTTAGCCTTTCAAACACCGAGACCGAAGGGGTTGAGCCTCCAATGCGATCAAATACTGAAGCCCGTTGTTTTATTTTCTTTCCCTTAGCTTCCTTCATCTCCTTTACCGAGGTGTATTGTGATGAAGCTATCTCTTTGCTTCTATTTGATGAAATTCAAAGAGGCTCTGCCAAACTGAACCTCAACCCAAACTTTGGAGTGGCGACGTAGTGCCCTTGCTTTCTCAACTTCATTTTGGACTCATTGAGCCCATGTATTTTTTCACTAGTGACTTCGTCTTTGAGTTCTCCTAGTTGTGATGGATTGGAGATTATAACCAGACTTTTCAAGCAATATGAAGGCCGTAGGATCATAGTGCCCTTTTATTTTATCAGCATGGAGATTGCCTTTAGCAGACTCACAAGTCACGGATGGGATTTGTTCAACTGGGACAGTCATATGCTCCTTCAAATGTTGTATATCTTTGTGACTCATTTGCTTCTTTGGAGTACATTCGTGTAGCAAAGGTTGCCCTTTCTTTCGATGCTCACGTGGCATATAGCGAAAAACCAGATGCTCCTCAGTACTTGTCTGTATGTCACATTCAGATGATGATAGCTTAATGGAGACTTCTTCCGTTCCCTTCTTAGGCAGCTTAGTGGTAGTCCATTGAGCCTCATTTTCCTCTTCTGACTTGACATCAGCTTCATCATCTGATGATGGTTTCTCCACTCTCGGTTCACAAGAATCTAGGTAGAATTTTGCGTCTGCAAAGTATGACTCCGTGTTAGTTAAAGGCTTGATGTCTGCATCAATTTTGACTATCTCACCATCTCTTCTGTACTTCAGACATTGATGCAAATTAGATGATACCACTCCATTCTCATGAATCCAAGGACATCCAAGCAACAAGTTGTATGATGTTTTAGCATCTATGACGTGAATCAGGGTGTTTGAATTCATCTCACCAATGGATAATCATACGCGGATCATAATTATGGCGCGTTGTCCTCCTTGGTTGAAACCTTTGATTGTTAGGTTACTTTTGGATAGCTCATCGATAGAGATCCTACGCTTTTTTAGCACCATCTTTGGCATGATGTTGACAGCCGAACCATCATAACCAAGTATGCGATTGAGATGTTATTCCCGAATGGACCCTACAACAAACAAAGGTGTGTTATGTGGCTTAGACCCTAGAAGCAAGTCATCATCTGTGAATGAAATTATTGCACAACATGTGACAACTTTTCCGTTATCATGATGTTCTTGTGTTTTCATTGGAGCAGGCTCATCGTTGCTTTCCGTTGTTTCGTCAGTACTAGAAACTACATGTGTACATCGACATGACCTCCATGAAGGAATTTTCCAGGAAAGAATTCTTGCAATGTGATGTGCTTTCGGAACTTCGGCGATAAGGCACTATTAATCTTCTTGATAGTAGAAGATTTGATATTTCTTGGTGATTGTAGCCTATCTGCATTGCTCATCATCGCTCTTGAATTAGGAATTCGTAGCCTCAAAACTGCCTGATGTTTTCGCTTCATGTGAGTGACTAGAATCCAACCCTCATCGTCTTTGCCTTTGGAGTGATCGTCTAGCTCTAGTAAACTTTAAAGCTTTTTCCTTGGAATATCAACATCAACGGGCTCGAAACTTCCAAATTGTAAGAAGGCAGTGCTTGACACGTTATGCAACTTTGAACACTTCTTTTCCTTGAGTGCGATACTCGCATGATTTGCTTCTGCTGTTTCATCCATCTCTATGATGATTTTTCCTTCACTTACAAGAGCCATGATTTTCTCCTTCAAGATGAAGCATTTCTCTGTAGGGGGCTGATGACGCGATGAAACTTGCAGTATTTTGGATCGCCAACTTTGCCAATTTCCTCTGGCCTTTTTGATTCGAGGAGATTGATGACTTTCTTGTCCAACGGTTCATCAAGGATTGTGGGTACGTCTGAATATGGAAATGGATAAACCTTCGCCTTTAATTCCCTCAAGGTGGGACGACGCTTCTCCTCTTTGGGATATTGACTCGGGGTCTTATCCTCCTTCACTTTTTGCTTAGTAGTGACCTTCACAGAAGTGGCTTTCACCGCCATTGATTCATTGGTTTGGTTCTTTGATGCAACATTTTTCTTGAACTCCTTTTGATCAGCAAATGGAGATGTTTTTCCATGACTTGCGATGCTTAACTCCATGTCATGTGCTCGTGTTGCAAGTTCTTCAAGGGTTCGCGGTTTGATCCCATGTAGGATGTGCAAAACGCCCCAGTGCATTCCTTGAATGCACATCTCCACAGAAGATATTTCTGAAAGGCGATCTTTGCAGTCCAAACTTAACGCCCTCCAACAATTAATGTAATCCACCACGGGCTCGTCCTTCCTTTGCTTGGTGCATGTCAACTCTATCATGCTTACAGATCTTCGGTTATTGTAAAAACGATTGAGGAATTCCTTCTCAAGTTGCTCCCAGCTATCAATGGACTAGAGATCCAAGTCAATATACCAGTCAAATGCATTCCCATTCAGAGAACGAACAAATTGTTTCACTAAAAGGTCACCATGCGTTCCAGCATTGCTACAAGTCTCGACAAAGTGGGCAATATGTTTCCTCGGGTTACCTTTGCCATCAAATTGATGTAGCTTTGGTGGTTGATAATTGGTTGGCATGGTTAAACAATCAATCTTATTAGTATAAGGCTTAGAGTAGTAAAACGAACTTTGTGATGGTCCGCCATATTGAGCTCTGATGGTGCTTGTTATCATGTCTTGCAATTGTTGGATAGATAATGCCGCAACTGAAGTAGATTGCTTTTTCCTTTTGAATGTTTAACTTTGCAAATGATTCCTCAACAGCTGTTTTCTGGGAGTTGAAGACAGGTGAACGAGGAGGGACATGGCTTGACTCTCTAGGTGCATAGGCCTCCAATTTGTTCATGAGTTGAGCGATTTGAAGGTCTTTGTCTTCAGCAGATTTCTTCAAGACCTCTATAGTCTGTTCCATCATGGCAAACTATTCGTCCATGTTAGTTGCGTCAGTCATCAAGGCATTGACTTCCGTTCAAACTGAAGAATCCACCAAATCCTCAAATCTGCCAAGATTTGAGGCTGTTTGAGAAAGTTCATCAAACAGCGAGAATGGGGTGTTACCCCCAGAGATTGCGGTTGCAAACGTCATAAGAGATCTGCTCTTCTTTGCCTTCTCCAAGGAGGCGAAGTATTCGGATCCATCCAAGCCACTAGCCTTGAACTTGCTTCGAGTGATTGGGCCAACATGACTTAGCTCAGCGGATGCGACAACAGTAGCATCTTTGCATGAAACATCACACTTGCGGAAGGCCGTTGTAGCAGTAAATCTGAAGATTGTAGTTTTTAACTTGCAAGAAAGAGAGATGAAGGGCAGAATTGGTCCCACCGGGCGTGCCAAAATTTGTTCGCAACAAATTTTCGAAAATAAACTACAAAAAAAATAATATGAAGAAAAAGAGATTTTATTGATAAATATTTGTGGGTACAATTCTATGTATCCCTTGATTCTCTTATCTGAAATTCTTCGTGATTCGAGGGCTTGAGAAGCATCTTTCTTGAATGTAGGATGATACAGACCTCCTTGTTAATCGCCAAGAATGTCGAGCAGCACTTTGTTGTTACGGGTTGATCTCCGAGTAGAACTCCGTTGATCACTCCTTTGTTGAAGAACTAAACACTTGGTGATTGATCTCTCTGTTTGTGGATGCCTTCACCAATTGTGAAGTGTTCTTCTCCAACTCTAAATGTCCTCTGAGATTTACGTAACCCCTCTATTTATAGTTGTAGAGGATGGGCAGTCCAGCTACATTTGAACTTTTTTGCTTGATTTTGATTGGCCCATGTCATTTTAGCCACTTGTCGACCTGTGGTTGGTTCTTGCTTGACTTGGGTTGCCACATCATTTAACACATGGCGTCATCTTTTTGGCAGTTTGACTAGATATGCCATGTTA